GGCAACAGTCCCTTTGTGCTACACCCACCGCCTTCCGCCAGGCCTGGCCTCGATGGCCCTCCGTTAACTCAGGTTAACAGTCCAGCAGGGACCTTGTGTAGACAGACCGGGTCTGGAGCCCCCCTCTCCCAGCCTCAGTTTCCTCAGTCAGAGGGGGCCTGAGGCCTGGCACCGCCCATGTGCAGAGTAAACTTGAGCTCCTTCGGGGAGGACACACAGAAGTAGCGTGGTGGGCAGCGTCTCCTTGTGCTGTTGCTATTGTTGAGGACGAATACGCTCCTGCGTTTCAGCCCTCCCCCAAAAGTCATCCCCAAGAAGAGCTCCTCCCCACGGCCCGGCTGCCCCCACCCGAAGCAGGTTAACATCCTGGGAAAGAGATTCTTCCCAGGTGTGTGTCCGAAAATAGAAAAACAGAAGTACAGGAAGGCGGAATTCCCCGCCAGCCACCGGCTGTAAACGCACCCAAGAGCTCAGAGAGCAACGTCAGACTTTCCAGTGGGTGGGACCGCGGCCGTGCGTCCAAAGGCGCCTCTTGCGCCAGGTGGTGCGGGTCAGGCTGTCATCCCAAAGTGACCCCGGTCAGCAAGGCTCCTGTACCTCACGGCCGTCCACGTGGCCGACTTTGTTGAGAGCGAACAAGGGAGGCCACTCAGTCTTGCCACGGGTGTCTGTCATTCCCATTAAGGCCGGGCCTCGCAGAGCAGCGTCGGATGGAAAAGCCATCGCTCGCCAAGTGGGCACCGAGAGCCGCGACTGGCTGTCTCGGGAAGCGCCTGACGACCCGTCGGCCGAGACGAGAGAGCATGGTTGCTGTGAACACGGTTTCTCCGCCAGGTTTTTTCCTTAGGAATTTTAAGGAGGACGGAAGAATAAGACGGTGCCTTTGTTTGTCCGCCTGGTCCGTTCCGTTACCACTGAAAAGCCTTTCCAAGGCCGTCTCCCTGTTCGCTCCTGGGTCTGCCGATGGGGCAGCTCTGGACTGAAACGCCAAGACATTTTAGAAGGACTGGGGTTCATCCGGGAGCCCTGCTGGCACC